TATATATATATATATATATATATATATATGTATATGTAAACTTAGATTGGTAAAGTTACTTTGTAATAGATGAAAAACTTAGACGTTTATTTTTCAATGCAGCAATTACCAGTCGCTTGGGTAGACTAAAGTTTAACTCTTAAATCGAACCCAAAACATAGCGTCAAGAAATATAAGATGACAAAAGAGCTTAGTGACGTAAAAACCAAGCAGAATTTTCTTATCTTAGCTTACTTTCGAGGCAAAGCCACATACAGTTAAACTGATAGAATTCTTACGTACTGAAAATTTTTTTTGAATGGTCTTTCTCAACACATAAATTTAAAAAAGTATGAAGGATATATACTGTTAAACTGTAAGTTTTTCCTCCCAAAATACAGAAAATTTACAGCTAATGACCTTTTAAATTTCACCTTTTTTCGTCACCAGTGTTGGAATTATGCCTGCCACTGTAAATAAATATGTATATATTTTCTATTCATTCATTTATCTATTTATATGTATATTTATTTATATATCGTATATGTATGCTTATCTTTTTTGCTTTTTCATGAAATAATGCGGAGCTAGAACCTTAAAACTTATAAATCATTTTTTAAGCTGCTTAATAAAGCAATTACTGCAATGCTTCTTCCAATTCCTTTTTTTTCGGTTTTTTCTAATTGATTTTAGGTAAGCTCACAACTAATTAAATTGAAGTCTAAAAGTTAAAACTGGAAGCGCATTTGTTCTGCTATGGAGCAATTAAACAAAAAATTCCAAGTGTAATCATTCTAACTAAATATCAAATTTCTAAATATGTAAGGCAAAAGTGCGTAAATATGAGTGAATTCACTAGAAACTGAAGAAGTAAGCTTGGCAATCAAGTAGACAAGAAGCGAAAAAATTAAGAAAAAAGTATATAATCGAGAGCGACAACTGTTGTTGCTACATATTACCGTTTAGACTATCAACTCGATAAATGTCTAGAAAACCACAAAATAAGAAGTAAAATTAAGTGAAAAAAATAACAATATTTATATCTGTTTTTTGTAACACTTCACTATTCAGAGATTTTACCGGAAAACCAAACTTACTGGTTAACATCTAGTTCATACTATCGCTCCTTTCCTTATAAAATTGGACGTTGTCTTGAGGGTGATCGTCACACAAACTGGACCTCCGATGAGTGCAGTAAAGCAAAACCCTCTCGAGGCATCGTATGTCAATACTCATGTTCGTGCTTGACAGTATTAGCTAATATTGCCTCTTTAAATTGGTTTCCGATTATGGCTAACACATTTCTTGTCTAAAACTTTTTTTAGAAGTAACTACTTTCAACTTGTTAAGGTGAAATAATGTGCAGAAAGAATTGGATCATGTATAGACGTGCTTGCTATTATGCAGTAAGTTGTTTCAGTGAAACTGCATTACTGTCCTCCCTCTAAAAAAATACTTCTTAACAAAAGGTTATAAATCAAAAAAGAAAAAGATAAAATAAAACTGACGAAGAAAGAAAAAAAAGTAGAGAAATATTCGTTAACAGTGAAATCCACCTTAATTGACTTATTTTTTTTTCTTCAGCTTTTTTAGTCGAGTGGTCTGCTGAAACAACGGCTATTCATAGAAAGTATACAATCTTTAAATAATTCTATTAAAGTTTAGCAGGAAAATAACATTTGTACAGACAGATTTTTCATATCTTTTCTAATCATTTTTTTTTTTTTTTTGTTTTACAGACACGAAGTTTTGTTGTTGCCAATTTCCTTACAATTTCTCAGGAACGTAGGGGAAGCAACAGCTGTTTAACTTTGAACGGCAGTTACCTGGCTCAAACGCTTTTTGTGGAATTTGGCCAGAATACTGCATAGTTTTTAGTACAGGCTTTCTTCACATTTTTTTACCGTTAAGCATTTTTTAAATTTATAAATTCTCTGGTCTATTAGAACGTGAATCACCAGCTGAACCTGTAAAAAGTTTTAAATAAACCTTTTATGATCTGAAAAGCCACTTACGATTCAGCAGACAACGTCACGCCAGAGCAAATGGTAACAGTCTATTTGCTAGAAACTCTTCCTCAGAAGTTACAGTTTTAGAAATATCTTTAACCACTTTTCTAAATGAATAGAAGAAGCAAAGAAAGAATTTTACAGCAGGAAAGAAAATCCTTGCATTAGAAACACCAGGTCAGAAAAAGAACAGATAGCTTTCGTTGATAATGTTTTGTTCTTGGCACAAATTTGTCACTCCATTAGTGTTAACTTTATTCTTTGAAAACAGTACTGCAAGATACTTCATGACCAGTAAATGCTTAGTAGCACCAATGCTTGACGCGTTATTCAAAACCCGAGCAAGAAACTTCAGATTTTGAATTTTTAAAAGCTTTAAATCACTATTTAATTTCATCTGTTTTTCAGTCAATAATAAATTTATTGAAATAAAAAGAAAATATCTACTATAAATCTTTTTTTGTTCGCTGTAGTTTTTAACAATTGAACGTTTAAAAACAGAGTAATCATAAAATAGTTCAATTTGCGTGTAAACTTTGTTTCAGATAAGCGGAACATTCACTTATAAAGAAGCGAGAGAATTCTGTTATGAGAACAATGGTTTCTTGATGTTGTTTCAAAAATCAAACCAAGAAGTCTTTTGTAATCTATTAATTTTACTTTCATTCATTTCTCCATGCAACAGCTTAAAGACTTCTTGTGCTGTTTCAATTGATCATAATTTTCTGTATTAATAATTTTTTCGTTTGTTGCAGTGCATCTTGTAAAGTCGTATGGTCAAGGAATTTTTAGAAAATTTTGGATAGGTTTAGCAAAAATTGATAATGTGAATGTGGTAGATAAAATACAATCTATCAATCTATCTTCACTATTCTACTTC